CGGTAGTGACGTCAGACGCCGGTAAGAGTTATCGAAACGCTTGAGAGGTCGCCGAGAGAGGTCCGAGAGGCCTCTCCGACTGACTAAACATCTAAGACGTCGTTAAAAGACATAACCAGTATCCAAAAAGGTTAGCATACTCTTTTAAATATCATAATTACTTAATGTCCATCAATCTACAGTGACTTACAACCCTAGAAAGTTAAAGAATCAATGTAAGTAGTTTTGAGCATCTCGCATAGTCAGCTTCCAAAATGGCGGTCTTGAGAGGTGTTTGAGATGCTAACGAGTGGTCGATTTAACACGAAATTAGCAGGGAAGTTATAAATCATTTCTACAATGTTCTGTAGTTGTAATTTGAATAATCAACCTTTAAAACTTATGTACAAACACATTTTGGACTAATAAATGGACATTGGTGTTATTTATGTAGTGAAAACCCGTCACACAGGCGCACGGCAATATGTAAACAAATCGGCTGCAGGGCCGAGACAGCGGTGGTTGAAATCACCCATTTATACGGGGCTGACACGTTACAGTATGTATCTATAAACATATCTACATATTAAATCTAGAGCGTTATAATAATAAGGGCTGAACAAACATAAACAATTAGTACTATTATTAAATTACTTTGTAAAATGGCTACATATAAACCTTTATACAATTCAAATAAACTCGAATAATCAGACTTTTAATACCTTCCTTTGTCAACCATAAAACTACCCCACATCTGTACGTGCTCATGTGTGTACTTAAGGCATATTATTGTTCTATTTTATAGTAATATCATACTCCCGACGCACCTCTTTTCATTGACATTTCACCTGAATATTACAGTGCAAACACTGTAGCACACACACCAGCACATGTTCTAATCCGAATATCTGGTTTGAGCTTTCAAATATTTGTTTTTAAGTAGGAACAAACTTCGAATAAAGGCTGAACTGTTGACCAGTCGGCCAGATCCGACCATTCATTGAACATGGGGACCATTGAAATCACTACTAATGCTTCATAATATATATTTACAATGCGTTTATGGACAGACATCATAATAAAGTTGATTAATTACAATATAATGGTTAAAATGAACGGTTTATCATACATTAGCATACCTTCATGACATGAAATATTTAAGCAAATTGTTACCATCCAAATAATTTGAACTAAGATGTAGTCAATATAACGAAACACAAAAACGTAGTAATACTTTTCGGTCTAACAATTCAGCATTTAACTGGTTTACAAATGTTTCACATACGGCAAACATAGGTTACATAAATATATATACCTACGTATGTTAAGTTATTGACATCAGTACATATGTTTTTTGGGTAGCTTGATTTAAACAATATAACTTTACGCATCAGCCCGTATTCAGAAGAGTAGATGGAGCCCGCAGCATGCCGTACATATATCAGGAGAGTAGATGGAGCTCGCAGCATGCCGTACATATATCAGGAGAGTAATGGGGCGCGCAGCATGCCGTACATATATGATGCTGATGATGATGATGATGATGATGATGATGATGATGATGTTGTGAGAGCGTTATTGAATGTTGAATGCATAATAATGATGTGGGAGTGATAATGAGTGTTGATTGCACAATACATATACGTATATATCATTTGTAATTTATTGTAAAGTATAGTTATCCAATAAGTTGTCAAACTTAAGGAATAAAAGTTGAATTGTGTGTGTGTGTGTATCATTTTGTATGGTGTCTCTGTTTTGTTTTGTATATATGTTATGACAGATAAGTCAACCGACTTAAAGTAATAAAGAACTTGAACTTGAACTTGATGGAGAGTAGATGGAGCCCGCAGCATGGCGTACATATATATATGGAGAGTAGATGGAGCCCGCAGCATGCCGTACATATATATATGGAGAGTAGATGGAGCTCGCAGCATGCCGTACATATATCAGGAGAGTAGATGGAGCCCGCAGCATGTCGTACATATATATATGGAGAGTAGATAGAGCCCGCAGCATGCCGTACATATATATATGGAGAGTAGATGGAGCCCGCAGCATGCCGTACATATATATATGGAGAGTAGATGGAGCTCGCAGCATGCCGTACATATATCAGGAGAGTAGATGGAGCCCGCAGCATGCCGTACATATATCAGTAGAGTAGATGGAGCCCGCAGCATGCCGTACATATATCAGGAAAGTAGATGGAGCCCGCAGCATTTCGTACATATATCAGGAGAGTAGATGGAGCCCGCAGCATGTCGTACATATATCAGGAAAGTAGATGGAGCCCGCAGCATGTCGTACATATATCAGGAAAGTAGATGGAGCCCGCAGCATGCCGTACATATATATATGGAGAGTAGATGGAGCCCGCAGCATGCCGTACATATATCAGGAAAGTAGATGGAGCCCGCAGCATGTCGTACATATATCAGGAGAGTAGACGGAGCCCGCAGCATGCCGTACATATATCAAGAAAAACTATGCAAAGTGGCAGAACTAACTTGATTAAATACAAGACATCAAAACATGAACATAAAGGTAACATCATTGTGGTAAATAGAAACAAATATTGAACAATTCAGTTTGTTACAGGACGATCCTGAAAGTGTATAAACATTGTACGTGAATGAAGGTTTTTATCTGATGCACTTTCATTATTTTTCCTTTGAGAAAGTCATTTAAATCATTTACGTGTGAAGTCCCCGTGCTGCAGCCGTTTTTATCGCTCTCGTATCAATGTGTCATCGGACACTGATATTGAAAAAGAAAGAGGCCATTATGTATCAGCATGAATTGAGTGTTCCTCTCATGATGGTGTCCGGTCTGTTACAATCATTTCGTACGTATTCGGAACTTCCTGTCCGGCCGGGTCAATGCTGCAGTAGTGCTCCTCTGTAATGTTAATTTAATCGGAAATTGAGTATAAAAGGACGACCCGATCAAACAGCAGATTTGATGCCTTTTAAAATTATCGAATCCCAAATTATAGATACAATCTATTTATGTGCTATGGAAACATTTTTTTTTAACTGAGTGTTTTAGAACTCACCTTGTATCTGTCTTTTTGCCGCTATTCTTTTCCTACAAAAATAATATTCCCATGTTATTTTTATCGTTTTATATTTTGAATGAAAACAATCACTATTTGTTCTAGACTTTGTAAATTTCTTGATATAAACACGACTAATTTGTTCAATAACGTTTGTTTCATAATATTCCCAAATGATACATCGTAGAAACGTCCACCAATATTATTTCAAAGTAGCAAATCACCGTACAAATTGTTTCGTTACACTGAAAGACAGATACCAGAACTATCTCCGAACGTAGCATGGACTGTACCGTTGATAGTGGATTCATCCACCTTAACCTCGTGCATGCTTCATAGTTCTCTACATTTAAAATTCTTTGTGAAGTTATAAATCTTAAGCTCTCCTGCAACAATTAGGAGAGATACGACGGATTTGCTTAAGGTACCGTAACATGTTGACAATGAAGGCGATGGACATCACAAGAAACAGTGCAGCAACGCTCGCTAGGCCAGCTATGACTGGTACGCTTTCCGTAAATTCTTCATCTGGAAAGAGACAGATTTACTATGAAACTGCGACAGTGCAAAGACAGAATTTGTCAAAGGTTCTAGGCAATCCAATCCTTTATCTACAGAGAATCTTTAACAGTTACATATTGCAACATATAATATATCAACTATTAGCACGAAACAATACTACATCAGAAAATACATAATAGAAAACTAGTTATCACTTATAAACTATTAGCAAGAAACAATACAACATCAGAAAATACGTAATAGAAAACTAGTTATCACTTATAAACTATTAGCATGAAACAATACAACATCAGAAAATACATAATAGAAAACTAGTTATCACTTGTAAACTATCAGCATGAAACAATACAACATCAGAAAATACATAATAGAAAACTAGTTATCACTTATAAACTATTAGCATGAAACAATACAACGTCAGAAAATACAAAATAGAAAACTAGTTATCACTTATAAACTATTAGCATGAAACAATACAACGTCAGAAAATACAAAATAGAAAACTAGTTATCACTTATAAACTATTAGCATGAAACAATTCACCATCAGAAAATACATAATAGAAAACTAGTTATCACTTGCTGATGTTAACGTTTATTCCTCGGGCGACTTTTATCAGAAGGCTAACTACAGTACAGAATTAATCTTGAAATCATGATGTTGTAAATTCATGTAAATCAAAACGTGAGAAACATAAATACACGTTGTTAATTAGTTTATAAACATAGCCGTTGTTGATTAAAACAGTTTATTTTCGAGCATATGTTATAGTCAAATAAGATTTTTTTTCTTGCAAAAAAATAACTAAATACGTGTTGTTGTTGTTGTTGTTGTTGTTGTTTTACATGGTGGATTACGTCACTCGATTAACAGATATTGCACAGAATAAATAGGCAGACATTCATCTATATCTCTAAACATATTCTCCTCTATTCTATATTACATTTTATATCCTCGTGAAACATTATTTTATTGTATAGTACGTTTGTCCTACCGTCACATTTCCCATCCGATCGTCTACACTTGTTTGAGCCACAGCCATCAGGACACGTCTTCTCACATTGATAACCGTAAAGTCCATCTCTGCATTCTTCAAAGATAGAATAAAATATTGCTATGTTTCACCATATAAATTTCGATTTTTCAATTATCTTTAAAATCTCTTTCAAAGATGAAAGAGACAAATAGAGAGAATGGAGAGAGAAAGAGTCTGACAAAAGAGAAAAAAGACAGACACAGGCAGGAGGTCATGCATGATAAGAACTGGTGTATATATACCTGAACAGAAGCCAGTGTCTCTCTCACAGAAAAGGTCTTTACATTTTGTTGAACAATCCAGTTCACACTTCTTACCGCGTTTTCCAGGTTGACAATCTTAAATTGATAAAAAAAACAATTCTTATTCGCACTTTTCAATATATATAGCGTTATTTTTCATACCAACTTTCCTCATCAACATTTATTTTTGAGACCAGGTTTGTTTGAGAAACATGAGATTATGTTTGTTATTAATTATTGGCATGATTTCTGTTACAATTGTAAATAAGGATAAAATGAAAATAATAATAACACTTATTCAGTTTTTCATGCTACATCTTCATGTTGATTTACGCTAACAACTTTGATAAGAATCAATCAGCATCCAATAAATAAATAAACAAAAATAATTTCTTACTTTTAGTAAACATGACGTAAATTTGTGCTTTTGTCTTTTGATACGTATTAAATACGGCAAGCCTTTTCTTATTTCTTTTTTGGACAGCTTATTACTAAGCTTTAGTATGAAAGAAACATGAAGTGTTATGTTGAGTCGATTTGTAAATCTTAAATGCAATGCTTCAGACATGAAATTAAAACCTTTTACGATATATTTACCGTACACGTTTAAAAGATGTGATTATTTTTTCTGCGAAAACATTATTTGCAAATATGGGACATGCTTATTCTGGCTGGCTGATTCGTTTTCGTCTACAAAGCTCAGGGAAAACTGATATTTTCAAAATGGTGGCTAGTCCAAACGCATTTTCATGGTTTCTGGGCTCATTCTGGTGCTCGGAATGAGAGAAAATACTCTTTCATGCCCAAGGGAGTAGGATAGGGAAATTCCACCCTCGGGATTTTAAAGTTTGGCAAAACCCTCGGCAGAGCGTAGAGTTTGAAAACCCCTCGGGTGAAATTTCCCTATCCTACACCCCTGGGCATGAAAGTCTCATATTCTTTATTAGTGAATTCAATAGTGAAATTTTCAACATTCACGAAATATAAGCAGCATTTCAGTGGAAACCATTTGATATCCTCAATTATGTATCAAATTAAATTTCAAAAAATAGCATCGTTCATAACTAAATGTAAAATAAATTAAACAACACTCACTCTTTCTTCATCAGGTTATATGTGTATGTATAGAGGAAGAATTTGCACATTGTATCATGCCGTTATATATTATGTTGATTATTTCCATTTAAGTTGCGGTAAAGGAGTTCGAACCTTTATCAATATGTAAATGTATTGTCACTGTCTTACAGTTTACACTAACTCTCAGAAAGGTGGATTTGTTACCGAATTCGTTAGATGTCATACAAACATAGACATCACGATCAGTTTTGTCTGTTTGTCCTGTTAACAGGTATGGTGTTACTGTATGTCTGTTAATCTGGTTAGTATCAGGTCCTGTCCAGTTAATATCACAGGAAGGGGAACAACTCGCCTAGCACAGAATAAATACCGTTTCAGATGGGGATAGTGAAATAGTTTTTGTGTAAATTATACTCACATGCATGTCTGTGACTTTTTCATAAAAAAACAAGTCAATTTTCTTTCTATGACGTCACGTCAATTACATCTTACAATCTACTTAAGCAAAATGCATTTTTTTCTGGAATATTTTCTCACGTTCCGTCTTGTCGAATTATCACATAAGCAAAAGTTCATATCTAATATAACATTTAGGGCGTCGGTGAGTATGCGGTTACAGGGACATGACACTTTATATTGTCTCGGTCATTAACTATATCTTTATTGTCCTCATAAACACATTCACTCAAATAAATGTCCATAATTGGTTAAATAGCCGATATAATAGAATGATATCACGTAGCTTCCACACCGAAACATTCTACTCGTTGTAGTATACCTTCATGTATGATGTTGATTGAGAACTTGTATGTGAAGTCCCCCTGTGAGTTGGACACGGTAAGTGTGTAGTGTCCCACATCAGAGTATGTGATATTTCTGATGCTGTAGGAAAACTCGGTCCTATAGGAGACAGGTTGTCTCAGGGACTGCAGTACGACGTTAGTAGCCTCCTGTTGATCCACTCCAACATGCACAAGGTCAGCCTGCGGGAGAGGTGACGCGTCAACGGAAATACTGCTAAATACACTGTCCCACTCGTCCACATCATACGAGGTATTCAGCAAGTCCTTTCGTAGTACCTCTGGAGGAACTATAGCATAGCAACAACTTATTTCAGCGACATATACTGATTGCCAAATATTACCATTACAACGAAGTTATTTAAATATCTACAACAAGCCATTTACTTTAACATTTGTGATTGGACTCAGAATACTACATATTAACTTAACCGTATAGAATGTACACTTCAATGTATTTATTGACGTATTCTGAATAAAGCAATAATCATTGGTAAAAGAAATATATCGATATAGACTTTATAAAAGTTATTAACTGTACATCATTTTGCGTTAAATATTAAATTCATTATTATAAAGAGAAAGGTATTTTTAAACACAGTATACGCAGTTTTACTATTCATAAACATATTCTGTCTACATATGTTGATTATAAATATAATCGTTTTTAGTATTATCATGTGCGACTTGATTGAACAAAATATAATGAATAGTACCAATCAATAGCGTATACGTGTCTACCGTTACTACACGTTCACTTACAGAGAGACACTACGGTCAGACTCAAAGTCTGTGTCCCCAGGTTGTTCGTAGCATTACACATGTAGTTTCCATCCTTTGACCTTTTCATATTTTTCAAGGACAAGGTACTTCCCTCAACTAAACGACCGGTCCTATCATGGTACCATGACATCTCACAGGCGGGATTACATTCAGCTACACACCGGATATCCGGCAGGACGGTTCCCTCTTTGTCCGAGTAATGGGTATCGTTGGGAACTAATTTAATGTCAGAACCAGCATCTGAATATAAACCTTTTGTCATTCAATCTTTTAAAGAAACTGATAAGAGAGAGTTTGATCTCAAATTATACAAGGAGGGCTTTCTTTGATTAATTACAACTAGTTTTTGGCATAAAGTTAATAAACCATAAGTCGATTATACGTTCCTTTTATTCTGTTCAATTTTTTTCTTTAGGTGTTATCTCCCTTTGTTCTTCTTGTAACTACACTATACGAATAGCATGACCGTACAGATTCCGGCATTCCAGGAAGGTACAAATTGTGTATGAAACAAGAGTAAAGATGTTGTGTCGTTACCAAACAAATTTTCTAATTAATGATATTAAAGTTGACTGACATTCCCGTTTTATTTATTTTTTTAAACCCCATATTTTACTCACAGTTTACATTAACCCTCAAAGAAGTTGATATGTTGCCATAGTCGTTGGATGCCACACAGACATAGACACCACGATAAGTCTTGTCTGCGTGTCTGATTAATAGATTGGGTCCACGTCTCCCAGCCTGGTAGGTAGTAGTCGGTCCTGTCCAGTATATAGCACAGGAAGGGGAACAACTCGCCTGGCATCGAACATCTATCCTCTCTTCCTCTTGTACTGACACATCACCAGGTGGGGATAGCGAAATAGTTTTTGGACCATCTTGATAAAAACAAAACTTAACGTAAATACAACAACCTAGTTGTACTAATGATATATAGATGTATCGTCACAGTAATTAAATGAATATAATATTATAAAATGATAAGTGTATGAAAGCATTCCCCGATGAAGTCTGTATTAGATTTATCATGCATTTTACTATCTGATACAATTATAAACCTGAGAAAATAACAATGATGTTCTAAAAGAGATGCCTTTTCACTGCAACTAAGTGCTCATTTGTCTTTTTTTATTATGATTCTTTATATTACAGTTAGATCTCGAAAATGTGTATAGCAAATATTGAATAATTACACAGTTCCGGTTCTAATGTACCAGAAAATACGAAAACATTAAATCGCGTAAGACCATTTCCACACCTGTTTTCTGTAATGCGGCATGTGTAATAAAAAATATATAAGATGGTATGCGCATGAACAGAAAACACCGCGAGTCATATGTGGAGAGTCCGAAAACATTTGCATGTAAATTAAATTACCAATTCCCATGGAACACTGAGGTTGACAAGTCAAAGAGTAATAATCAATTGACTGCGTTTAAAGAAAAAGAAAATTATTGGATTGTAAATATTCAGTATAGGCTCTTATAAAAAGAAATTATAAATACATGGATAATGTTACTATAATATAAGTGAAATAGGGCTAAACATAACAAGTCAAGACGCTGGTAATTTCTTTTATACAATTTCCTTTGTTGTTTTTCGATAATGTTATCTACTTAAGAAATATTTTACTTAATTCCTGTTCCTCGAAACAGAAAATCGAAAATAACGTTGAACCAAAAATAAATGAACCAGTTGTCCTACGATTACGATTGCAAAATGCTTGGTATTTTTTTGAAATAAAAAACAGTAAAGAAAACCAATATATACAATCATGGAATGACTTACATGAAGTTGTGACATTGATGGTCACGGTTCTGATTCTGGTTCCGTCCCGGGCAGTACATGTATATGTACCATCTTTACTGGTATCCAGTCTACCGAGAGATAGGGTGCCATCACCACTGACATGGTCACTGTTCCTCGTCCAGGTCACGTGACAAGCAGGGTTACAGTCAGCTTTGCAGAGGACATTTTGCATTGTGTCGCCTTCCAGCATCGTGTATGTCCGAAGGGTTGGTTCCAGAACTATCTCTATGGGTCCATCTTAACAAATCATTTGATCATTATCAAGGAAGAGATAGTGTTTAGGACAAATGTAAATATATAGTGGCCATTATTAAATAGATGTTGCATTACAATGAAATCGAGAAATAGCATGTTTTACCCTCCAACGTAACATTTGCAATCATGTGTTTAATACTTATAACACTTTCTAGAGTAGAAGACTTTTTTTTTTCATAAGATCTATTCATGTATAGTTAGGCTATAAATAATAGCCAATTTTCAAAATTTCCGATGGAAAAATATCGTTACTGACTTACAAGTTACAGTAACCCTCAGAGAAGTTGATATGTTGCCATAGTTGGCAGAAACTAGATCCCTAGTGTTGTGGCTAGACCCAAGGATTAATTCTAATATCATGACTGCATTTGTCTCTTTTTGCCCAGCATTGGTTTATTTAGTTTTGGGGTGGGGATCTCAACCGTTTCGAAGTTATGACCCAGGGGTTAAGTCTGCAAGGGTGGGGCAGACCCTGGAGTCAATTCTAATATCATGACTGCATTCTTCTCTTTATGCCCAACAATTGTATATATAGTTTTGGGGTGGGGATCTTAACCATTTCGAAGTTATGAACTTATGACCCAGGGGTTAAGTCTCCCAGGGGAGGGGGGGCAGTCCCCAGGGCCATCCTGGAAGCATATGTGCATTCATATCTTTATACTCTTTAGATTTGTCATGACCAGCAATTGTATATATGGCTTTAGGGTGGGGATCTCAACTGCTTCCAAGCTGTGACTAAGAAACTAGGTCCCTAGGGGTTCGATCAGACCCCAGGGTCTATTCTAATATCATGACTGCATTCGTCTCTTTATGCCCAGCATTTGTATATACAGTTTCGGGGTGGGGGTCACACCCGTTTTAAAGTTATGGCCCAGGGACTATGTCTCCAAGGGTGGGGCCAGACCCCAAAACGGTAGGATAGAGCTTTCTGGTCTTTAAGCTGTTCCAATAATGTAAGTCGAGTGGGGTAGGCTAATTTTTGTCCATATTACCTCATCACCAGGATATTCCAATTCTGGCAAACGATCAACTTTCAAAAGATTATTTATATAAACCAAAATACCACCCCCAGCAAAATATCTATCAAGTCGAAAGGGAGAAAGAAAACCATCAATACATAAATCATCTAAATGAGTTTCGGTAAGACACACAATGTCGTATTCATCTACTATGTCCTCAATATAGTCTAATTTGTGTCTAACGCTCCTAATATTTAAATGAAATATAGAAAGCTCGCTAAGTCTCGGACCAGGATTGGACTCAACATCCATATGCTGTAGTATTAGCATTAACAAAATCACCGAAAACTCGAAATTTCGGAAACAAGAAATAAATATAATATTTATCTGAATAATCAACCAATAAAGATAGCTATGCAGTTGATGAAGTAATTTCAACCAAGAATTTAAACCAAAACAAAAAGGGATAAATGACTTCATCACACATCTTCCGTAGACCTTAGCATAAAAGGTATCCCATCCCTTAACCCTGGGGTCAGTCCCATTATTTGTACAATTTTGAATCCCTGCCTCCGATGAATGCTTCCGACCACTTAATGATCGATATCCATGGCATAGTGCTAGAGATAAGTCGTTTATAGCAATATAGCCAAATTGCCCCCTTTTCGCACCGCCCTCAGCCCCCTGGGGGGTCAGCTCCTCCAGTTGTACAATTTTGAATCCCCAACACCTAGGGATGCTTCCAGTCAAATATAGTTGTTTCAATCTCTTAGTTCCAGAGAAGAAGTCGCTTAAAGCAATATAGCCAAATAACCCTTTTTGGCACCGCCCCTCAGCCCCCTGGGGGTATATTAGCCACACCATTTGTACAATTTTGAATCCCTGCCTCCCATGAATGCTCTTGATTAAATATGAATGATATCCAGTGCATAGTTGTACAGAAGAAGTCGTTTGTAGCAATATAGCCAAATTGCCCCCTTTTTGCCCCGCCCCTCAGCCCCCTGGGGGTCAGTCCCACCTTTTGTACAATTTTGAATCCCCACCACCTAGAGATGCTTCCAGTCAAATTTAGTTAAATTCCAATCAGCGGTTAAGAAGAAGAGGTCGTTTAAAGAAATTGTTAACGGACGGACGCCACTGTATGGCATAAGCTCACCTTGGTCCTTCGGAGCAGGTGAGCTAAAAATGAAATTCAGGGGAGATTACTGTATGCACGAATTATCTAGTGGATTGCCTACATTAGGACAGGGAACCCATATCAAGCTGGACTATACTGACCTTCCTCCGCGTTTCCCTGTGGCCCAACAAAAGTGATTTTGATATGCTTGAAAATTTCTTGCAATCACATTGATCGGATACTATACACGTGACCAGTAACCGGTGAATATCGATTTCTAAATATAGCCTATATGGAAATTCACCAAAACCAATTTAAGCGTATGTGCAGTTACAACGGAACGCGATCTGTCAGACGACAACAGAGGATGGCTGCTGGCGAACGGAACGCGATCTGTCAGACGACAACAGAGGATGGCTGCTGGCGAACACTTCGCCTCCGTTACGTCTCAATATTTTAAAAAACTACTCGAAGATAAAGGGTGTTTTTTTTTTACACAAAAATGTGCCCGTCCACCATGCTTCCCTAAGGAAAAGAACAATGACGATTTCTTCGAAAGCTACGATACCGAACTGTTGGATTCAACCCTGGCTAATTTTACACGATGGCTCGTTCTCTAAAGTTATCGATATACAATTGTATTGTTGAAGCATATAATAAAACAGTTGTGGCTTTTGTGCTGGTAAATATGATGTGATATGAACCTGAATTGTTTTTATTAGCTTCGATTTCGCCATGGCCTAGGTAATTTCACAGCCAGTCTGTAAACATGTTACAGACCTCGTACTATGAGTAGAAAAGTATTACAGATCTCGACCTATAAATAGAAAAGCGTTACAGACCTCGTACTATGAGTAGAAAAGTATTACAGATCTAGACCTATAAATAGAAAAGCGTTACAGACTGGCTGTGAAATTACCTAGGCCTATTTTTGGGTAATTTCACAGCCAGTCTGTAAATATGTTACAGACCTCGTACTATGAGTAGAAAAGTATTACAGATCTAGACCTATAAATAGAAAAGCGTTACAGACTGGCTGTGAAATTACCTAAGCCTATTTTTGGGTAATTTCACAGCCAGTCTGTAAATATGTTACAGACCTAGTACTATGAGTAGAAAAGTATTACAGATCTCGACCTGTAAATAGAAAAGCGTTACAGACTGGCTACGAAAATAACAAGGCCTATTTTTGGGTAATTTCACAACCAGACTGTAAATATGTTACAGACCTCGTTCTATGAGTAGAAAACTATTACAGATCTCGACCTATAAATAGAAAAGCGTTACAGACTGGCTGTGAAAATACCTAGGCCTATTTTTGGGTAATTTCACATCCAGTCTGTAAATATGTTACAAATCAGACTACTGAATTCAACTACAAATGATTTATCTCATCAAATTTTAAACTATGTGATGATATTGATGATGTCGATTGTGCAAATAATATTTACTTGATATTAAGTATTACATGAATTGAATCTGAAATTGTGTATGTTATTTATTAATTTGAAGTCCTTCACTCTGTGATTCCAAAATGGTCCATGGCATCCATGTGTTTATGACATGAAAAATGATTAATCTCATTGTAAATTGTCATATAATTAAACAGTTGTGGACTTCAATAATTGTATATCAATTGGTCAATATAAGTTGATTAAACTTGTTTCAAATACTGTTGTAAAAGAAACGTAATCACAATTCAATTATATTTCAGCCGAATTTATACAAGTACACAATTGTACGTCCTTATAGGTAGGAAACAAAGAATCACCATTTTAACCGGTACTTCATATAACCCTTGTCATAATTAGTTTCCTAACTACCAAGTTAAGGTGGCTCCACACTTTCGCAATTAACCAGCAAAATTCGTTGAAACTTTCATATAATGGTTATGCAACTATGTAGAGTTGATTTTATGAAAATCTAAACACTCCGATAGTTTTGGGACTTTTTTGGGAAAAATACAAAAAAAAATGAATTTTCGTCAATTTTAATATTTTCCGGGGTTTTTCTGTGTGACATTGTTCGGAACAATTACAACATTAATAAAATGAAAAGAATCATTTCTAATTAACCCTACAAATATTTTATTTATCGCAAAATATGTAACACATGTTACACAAAGTGTTTTTTTATTGAATTTGTACGGATAAAAGTGATTATCTACAAGCTAAAAGCAAACAGGACACAAAAATCTATACATATAGAATGGGAAATTGAACAAAATATACACAATGGCTTTATAATTAATTTATTTTACATTTTACAATCACTTTGATCCGGGTGAGAGTTATCTTCCTTGAAAAAAATCGGAACTTTTTGCAGAGGGATGACATTTACACAATGACAGTTGTCTCTGTTTACATACAACAAATGATGGAAATAAATCCAAACTATGATATCAAAATTATCAATTTATTGTTCTTTAATGGAACCAAATTACCCTCAGTCATGTACACTTTGGACATCATTCCACAGTCCGCTAACTCACGGTATATTTATAATTACATGTCAGGTACATAGGTGACCAGAGGCTATCGCATGGTATGCCGTTCTCACGTGCACTCACACATGCATTTTATAGGTATCTTGATATTTTACAAAAAAAATATTTTCACAGAGTAAGTACACTACATTTGTAAACACGATTAAATCGACAGAGCGAAACTCCCTCAACAGCGAAAATCGTAACGACCTTGAGCTGTGTATGAATTTGAAAGCTTTATTCCTGAAGTACGTGTGATTATACATTTCCCGGTAAAATTTCGATATCGGGTGTTGTCATATCGTCGGCACGCACGTGTACTATTGTTTACAAGGGGCGTGTTCGTTTATGCGGAGCAACCGGTTTGACCGTTTCTAAATGTAACAATTTCGGGTATAAATCCTGGCGGACATGCAAATGTGTATGCAGGCCTTGCAAGGCTTTCTCAAGGCTCGCCTGAAAGGAGCATCAGATTACTAGGTCCGACCTTATTTAATAAACGAACAACAGTGGTCCGATCGGGTTGACCGTTCAAACGAAAACGGCCCAGGTGGTACTATAATTTGCACTACAATATTGAATACCCGATACGCAATACGGAAATGAGGACACGAAAATACGACAAGAAAAACATGTGTATTACGAAGGGTGGGAAGTCCTTAAGGTGGCTCCACACATCGTCATCATCGTCCATTTTCGTGACGTACTTCCGGGAAAAGTACAGCTCGTACTCAA